TCCCTGTTTGTTTACTTTTTGTATTTCTCTTAGCTTGGCTAATGAGTACAGAACGGTCGAATTCACTTTTCTTTCTAATCACTTTCACTTCCTGGTTCTCATGCTTGGTTTGGTCCTGCTTTGAGCAGGGGGTTGGACTAGATGACCTCCTGAGGTCTCTTCCAACCCTGATATTCTATGATTCTATGCAGTAGATAATGCTGCAATACTCAGGTTTGACTTCTGCTTCCCCTAAGTCATGACTAGGATTTGAAGCAGGGCTCTTCACTACCATACCCCGCATTGCTACCACTTGAGCCAAAGGAGTAAATCCATTAGATTGTAGTAGCAGCAGTAGTAGGCTCTTACCTTGTGGTGGGCTAGCAGCAGCGTGGCTGTGATATACACTCTGAGTGTTTCACCAGAAACCCTGTTTCCTTTGAAATGGGGGGTGGGGGGAGGGGGCGGGAAGGAAACTCTTCTGCTGGCCTTATGGTTTTCTAGACTTTTCTTTTCATGCATCTATATTTTGGACTCCTCTTATCCCCACACTGTTCCCCACTCAGTGAAACTGAGTGTTGAATTTGTAAACCTGCCTATTAACAAAGAAAATATCATTCTGTCCCTCTGAGCTCCTCCTCCACCCAAACTGGCCCATCAGAGCCACCCCAAGATTTTGGGGCCTGGGGAAATCTCCAATGGAGAGCTCACTTTTCTCTGTTTATTGGTCCTCTTTATATTATATCCCACCCCAAGTCTTAGAGAACAAGTTGTCCTTCCCTCCCTTCCTCCATTTGTGGCCGTTTGGATTCTGATGTCAACGTCTCCTTCAATGCGTTTTCCTCTTTGCTCATTTGTGCACAGTTAATCACTGGAGTGTTGTGAGGCAAAGCACAGCTCGCAGGCCCGGTTCCTCAATGTGCCTTGCGTTCTGGTTTGAGCTGTTGTTGTTGTTATTCCCATTGAGTCATTGAATCGCAGAAGCATCTGCAATACAGATCCCCAGTCGTGGACCAGAACCCCGGTGTGCTAAGGGCCGTGCTAAGCAAAACGAGAAAAGGGTTTAAAAATAAAACCTACCCAGGAGAAACAACGAGGAGTCCTTGTGGCACCTTAGAGATTAACAAATTTATTTGGGCATAAGCTTTCGTAGGCTATAACCCACTTCCTCGTTGTTTTTGCTGATATAGACTAACACGGCTACCCTTCTGAAACCTGCTACCCAGGAGACTGTCGCCTCTGAGAGGCGAGGTCTTTGGAGCGGCTTGCACATAAGGCTTTTGTCCCATTCAAGCCAAGGAAATGAAATAGTAAGACAGGGTCTGAATTTTGCATTTAACCAAATACAGTATGACAAATGCAACAGGGGGTGGGGGGAAAGGCTAGCTTTGCGAAGGACACCACCTGGTTCCTTGTAAAAAAAACCCAGAAGGGTCAGAATGGATTGAGGATGCTCATTGGCCTCTAGTTTAATGACAGGATGATTGGAACTCATTAGTTCACTGCCTGCCGTCCAGACGTACGTACTTTCCTTCATTAAGTTACATGAGCTGGATCGATGACTGCTACCGTAAGGTAATAGGGGCGTTCTGCATTTAAAGGCAGCCAGGGATGTGTTCTGAGGTAGGGGACCGATGTACCACATGCAGTATAAGGATGTGACTAGAACAGTAGATGACAATGGATTGGCTGGTGTATATATGTACCACTGCCCATTGCTGGATGGAATGAGTTCATCTCAACTAGGTGTCCTAGCAGTACAGGGTCTAAAGAAGAGGTTTATAAAATTACCTAAGGGATTTGACTGCACAAGTGAGCGCCTCTGTGCCCAAATCCCTTAGGTGCTTTTGGAACGCTTCCCTCCTACAAGCTTTTCTCCGTTAGCTCATATGTAGCAGCCTACGCTTTAGAGGCAGATGCGCATGAGCTCTATCCCCACAGTTACCAGGAAATCCCGAGAGGCCGTGGCGTGCAGCATTGCGATGACCGGATAATCCGAGGTGCCTGTGGATTTGTTACTCAGTTGACTTCTAGGTTGTAATGTACGTTACTGACTGAAGAACACCTTCTGTTACTTTTGGGGTCACAATTCTAGATGCAGGCGCTCCCAGATCAGCTGGCGAGGCCTCTAGCCCCCAAACGTCCCCTCATTAGAACTATATTTTTGGAGAAGAAAAATGTGTGGAGGGGAGATAGGTGCCCCTGGGAAACGCTGAAAAATGAGGCCTGTGTTGTGTATTTTCTGGAGGGGCATAAATGATTATTGGTATTAAAATAGCACCCGGAAACCCAGCTAAGATCAGGACCCCATCTTACTAGGTGCTCTACAAACACGTAGTGTGTCCCTGCCCTAAAGAGCTTACAATCGAAATAGACAAGACCGAAGGGAAGTGTTACGAGCCCCATGGTACAAAAGGGATACCGAGGCACAAAAACTTGCCACAATGAGTCTGTAACAAGGCAGGAAATTGAACCTGGGTTTCCCGAGTCCCAACCCAGTGACTTCCCCGTAGAAGATTTAGTTCTTAGCAGTTCGTTCGCTCCTGGTGTTTATTCTTTACTGGAATTTATAAAAAGCGTCGGAAGGATTTTTTTTTAACATCCAAGCCGTCTCCATAGCAACTAATGGTGGTGTCACGAACGGATTATGATGGGAGATGAGGAATAAGGGGTAGGAGCAGGCTCACTGCTAGGCAACAAAGACCTACATTTAATGCACAAGTTTCAAGAAATGGGGGGAAAAAAGAGAAAAACACAAAACACATCGAATTACAGCAGAGTTGTCTGTGCACAGAATAGCGTTCAAAGCTTTTGGTCTAGCTGGGCCAGTGGGGTGACTGTGCGCAGGGTGGACTGCACATTTCTAAAGATCTCTGCTTGTCCTTGCAGTAGAGCAGAGCAAAGTTTTTTAGACTAATAGTTTATGTGATGAAAAATGCAGTGTTGGTCAATCCGGAACTATTTGTGAATTTGAGGCAACTGGTTTCAGCCATTCCCAAAATGGCTGGAGAAGAACCTGCTGCCGCTGCCACAACACTTCACAACCATTAGCCCGTGTTTGCGACGCTGCCCTGGGATTTGAGGGACTTACGTTTCAACCCCTGAGACCCGAAACAGATTTTCTCAATTCACCGAAAAGTCCCCAAAATTTCAGATTCTGTTAGAACTGAAAAATCAGTTATTTGCTGAGCCTTTAGCCCAGAGACAGCAGCCGTGTTATTGCTGCAACCTGTTCTCTCTCTCTCTCACCCTACCCCGTGCACCCACCTCAAGACTTTACTTTTGTTCTTTCTTGTTTGCTGTTTTCCGTCGTCTGAAACAAATCATTTTAGACGGAAACACCAAGGTTGTGCATGGAAAAAACCCAAGAGGTTTTTCCAAGAGGAATCAGCACCTTTATTAGGTACTAATGTAGCTCAGTGATGGCATGTTATTTACTGTAGGGAACAGTCCTGCCCTGGCAGATAGCTGGGCTGGATGATGTATTAGGGCTTTTCTTTCTCTAGTGTCTGTGATTTCCTGGAAGTTGCCCATAGTGACACCTGTGGAGTCCATTCAGTCTGGGACAAAGAGGAGAAGCTTCAAATAGGAGAGGATATCCTATCGTCCCTTAAGAAAGAATAAAACCCCTTCTGGCAATGCTGCAGTTATTGCTACTTAGAGCGAGGATCCTGTAGCCTTAATGAGCAATCAGCATTTGCTATGGATTGTGTATGTCACACATGGACAGTAACCAGTGTTTTCCAGGTCCACAGCACAATGACGAGGGAAATTTGCAGGGGCTGTGTGCAAAATGGCTCATTAGAGCTACAAGCTTGAGGAACCCAAAGGTTAGCTGTAAAATAGTCTAATGAGAAGCTGAGGGTGTCGTGTAGCTAGCTGCTGTTTGCTCCGATCTCACATTGACTTTTGTGCTTTGAACATGCCCAGACTTTTCCTTCCTATTAGAGCAACTGGTGTAAGAAGGGTTGCAAAAGAGTTCTGTTCTAACCCCCCTTTCCTACACACACGTAACATTCACCGCTGGGCATGAATTGACTCCTGTTTGGCCTCGGCCTGAAGGAGAAGGTTATTAATTAAAGTGACGTAGGAGCTGTCATCCTGGAGCTGATGTGAGGTCCATCTAGGCCAGTGTCCTGTCTCTGACGGTGGCCAGCACCAGATGTCTCCATGGAAGGTGCAAGAAAGCTTAAGTTATGGAGCAACCTTCCCATAGGGTAGCGGTTCTCAACCAGGGGTCCGGGACCCCCTAGGGGACCATGAGCAGGTTTCAGGGGGGGCTGCCAAAATAAACCAGACAGCAGGGCTGACGTTCGACTCCCTGGGGCTCAGGGCAGAAAGCCAAACCCAAGGGGGCTGAAGCCAAAGGCCGAGCAGCTCAGCTTTGCAGGGCCCCTGTGGTGTGGGCCCACAGGCAATTGCCCTGCTTGTTACCCCCTAACACCAGCCCTGGCTTTTAATCTACTGGCTATGCAGACAAAACAGCTGTTGTGGCACAGGTGGGCCATGGAGGTTTTTAGAGCATGTTGGGCGGGCCTCAGAAAGAAAAAGGGTGAGAACCCCTGCCCTAGGGGAAGTGTTTCCTAACCCCATTAGTTAGCGAGGCACTTGTGCCCTGAAGCTGAAGGTTTTATATCCCTCCAGTAGCTGCAGTTGCTTGGGCCTTCAGAAAATCAGGACCTCTCAAGTTGGGGCTCCAAAATGTAGTGGATGCGTCTGAAAATGTTTCTCCAAGTGGTGTTAAATCTGGTGCCTGTTTGGAGGCACAAGTGAAACGAGTTGGTAGTTCTCCTCCCAGCTCCTTGGGGGACAGGTATCCCTTGGCTGTCTCAGCCGGAGGCTAAGGAATTAAGAGGCCAAAGACTGCTCACTCTTAGCAGTCATGTGGCTAAGTGAATACTGAGGCCCATGGACTGGGCTGGGTGAAGGAAGCTAATACTGCCCCATTGTCCTGTGGAGCACTAGATGATTTCACTCTTCACCAGCGTTCTATTTGCATTAAGCCCTGTTTTCTCTTCCAGACACATCAATGTTCGGCTTGTGCAATAACTCTGGTGACCTAGGAGGAGTTTCTGCCCTAGGAAGATGAGATTGTCGTATGCCAAGATACTTACGCTAGCAGCCCTCTTGGCGCAGTCTGAAGCCTTGGCTCCGCATGAAGGTACGTGTGTCACGTGCTGTGTCCAACAGAAACAAAAGCAGGGTAGCTAATGCTCATGGCAGAGAAGTTAATGTCTTTTCCAGGTGGCTGTATTTGCTAGTGTAATGAGCGGTAGCTACCTGAGGGCACTAGTGGGGCTTGAACCTGGGATCTCTAGCATCAAGATCACAGGCCATTGTCACTGGACACTAGCAGGCTAAATAGTCTTTGCAGCCAGCCACAGATAGGATCGTAGCTACTAAGCCAAGACATGTGAGCTGTGAATTGTGGGAAACCGAAGAGGATTGTGGGAAGTGCCAGGTTGTATCGGTCACATGGTTCATCCTGTCTCTGATATTGGCCAGTGCCAGATGTTTTAGAGGAAGATGTAAGAATCCCACCGTAACCCTTGCCCCCCCCCCCCCCCCCCCCCCCCGCATAGTTCTCATCCTGATCTCTATTAGTTAGACTCAGTCAGTGTCCATCTGCATTTGTCAGCCACCAAGCAGATAACCTTGGGGTTTGCATTTGTTTTCCACTGGCTTTTCTTAATGCCACACAGGGCCAGTTAGGGGATCAAAATGGCACAAGGTCTCATCTGCTCCCTCTCTTTCCATCAGCCACAATCTCCCCTCTGATATTTTCTTTGGCCCCACGTATGGCATTAAAAAGTAATCCCAAGAACTGCGTGTCAGTGGGCGGGAGCACTGCCCGGTCACTTGGATCTGCGCAAATGGGCGTGACATGCCGCTGCTCTGATCTGCTTGTGTTTTACGCTCAGCACAGGTGTAAGTGACCGCCCCAGGCACATGGCAGTGGAGAATTAGCTCTGCAGAGTCTAGCCCACCTCTCTGTGGTGTAGCCTGGTCTACACTACGGGATTAATTCGGATTTAGCAGCGTTAATCCGAATTAACCCTTCACCCGTCCACACTACAGAGTCAGTTAATTCGAATTAAAGGGCCCTTTAAATCGATTTCTGTACTCCACCTCGACGAACGGAGTAGAGACTAAATCGATTTTGTTAATTCGAATTAGGGTTAGTGTGGCCGCACACCACCGAATTACTGTGTTTAAGTTAATGGGGTAGTGTGGCCGCACACCACCGAATTAATGTGGTTAAAAACCGAATTAAGGTGCTTAGTGTGGCCGCGCACAATCGAATTTATACAACTTGTTTCCCAAATTCGAATTATCTAAATTCGGATTAATCCTGTAGTGTAGACATAGTCTGGAGAGGCCCTTCTCGAGGGGAACTGGTGGGAAAGATGTAGGGGGTGGGGAGCTATGTGAGTGAGGGAGGAGATCTGTCACCATGTGGGTCCGCCCATCTCCCCCCAGGGTGAGGGAGGCGGTAACAATGCCCTACATAGGCTACTTCAACTACCGAGGAGGAAGCTTGCTCCCCATTGTGCCCCACCTGCATCTCCCCAATGTCAGGTCCAGCTAGGTCGGCACAGGAGGCAAGCGCTAGGCACTGCAGTACCACGGTGATAGGATTGTAGTCTCTCTGCTATCAGCAGCATGGGGAAAGCATAACGAGCTGTCTCTCACTACCTAGCCCCCCGCACCTCAGCGGGCATATTTCTACTCCATGCACACTAGAATCGGTGCAATGGGTTCACCAAAAATCTGCTTTCGTAACATACTGTTGAAGCTTGTTTTGCACATCTCTAGTGTCTGTGCACTAGAGGATAATAGCCTACTAGTGCAGTTGGCGGGTAGCATTGCCCCTTGGCTCAAGTGGTAAAGCTCTGTGCTGGAGAGGTTGAGGGCTGTAGGTTCAAACCCTGTTGATGACCCATATGGAGTAAAAGGGCCACTATGACTGGGTAGTTTGAAGTAGATGTGACTTTCTGCTGCTGAAATTCAGTCCCTGGGAAGTCCATAAGGGCCTGCAAACTGCTTCTTGCAGGCAGACTAATCCAGGGCCCGGCTGGGCATAAGGGTCCAACTGCCTGTGCTCTGCAGACATTCAAAGAGGAACACAGGGCTTGCCAGACAGGATTGGGCTCTAAGATTTTAAGAACGTGCCTGGAACCTTCTGAAAATTCAGCAAGGGGTTAATGGTAGCTTAGGAATTGGCTGCAAAATTAACTTGATTAAATTCCTGCCCGTCAATTAAGCCAATATCTTTGACTATAATGCTATTTAATTCACAGCCTGGAACAGTGCAATAAATCAACGTTTACAGATGTCTCCGGCAAACCTTTGATGGATGAAACGGGGTAATTTCGGAAGTGCATGGAAAATTTCAAATAAAATCATATCCCCCTGTGATTAATATAGCTGTCTGTGTTGGTATTTGCTCCAGAAGGCACCAATCCAGATATGCTTAACATCACATGCTTTCAAAGACAGCATCAGGTGCCTGATCCAACCAGGCCGAATGCTCTCTAGTTGCAGTGCCAAGCTGGGGCCTGGTCCTGCATGGCTCTGAAGGCCCTGTATGAAGGGGCCCTTGTCAAGGGGCAGCTGCTCTTTATGGGGCGCTGGGGCCCAGCCTGCCTGTGGCTGCCTTATGAGGGTCCCACCTGGGGGTAATTGACTGCCCCAGGAGACTGATTACTAAAGAAGCACCTGGACCTAATAACGGTTACTGGAGCTCAGTTAGCGTGAACTCCAAAGGGAGAGAGGAGACTGAGGGAGGCCGGAGGCAGAGGGCAGAACAGGGAGCCTCGAACCTGGGGAACCTACCAGGATGGGGAGCCTGTAAGAGGCGTCCCCGGAGAGGGGATCCTCCTAGTCAGAGGGCTTTACCACTCGTCCCCCAGACGTTGGCCGGAAGCCCGGCCTGGCAAGGATCGCCCGCTGTCCCTGGAGACGCGTCACAGCACGCAGACCTCCCCGGACCTGAGCCTCCAGAGAAGGATGTTACTCCGGTAGGGGCAAGAGACTGGCACCAAGAGAGCACTGGAGGGATACCGGGTAGAGATGATCAGTGGACTCAGGTGGGGGACATGGCTGAAGAATGACCCGGTCACCCCACTGGGACGTTGGGGTTAACGTTTTGGTCATGGTTCTGCATTGGCTTTTCTGTTGACAAATGAGACTCTCTGTAAGGAGGGGCTCTCTCGCACGTAACTGGCTGTTTGCACTTGCTGATCCCCTGGATGAGGGGCAAATTAAGTAAAGGCTCATCTGCAACACTGCACCCGTCCACACGGGGGCGTGCCGGCTCACGGTGTATGCACTTACTGTTATTCACAACAGAATTCTGACCTGCCGCTGCCCGCTGACACAGAGACTTTCAGTGACGCTATTCAGGACTGATCTGCCTTGAGTGGTCATATCCATCTGTGCAAAGTGGATGCAAACGAGGATGGTAACAGCCTACAGCTGCTCCGCCTGGGGTAAATGACAGTTCAAGGAAGCCAGTGGAGATTCAGACCCCTTGCAGAGCACTGACTGTCTGCGTGGGTGTGTCTACACCCACAGGGAGCTGGAGGTGTAATTTCCACCTCAGGCAGACGTACCCACACTAGCTCTGGTGGAACTAGCATGCTAAAAATAGCAGCATAATTATCGCTGTGCGAGTGGCAGGATGGGTTAGCCACCTCAAGCACAATCCTGTCTGAAACCTACTTCCAGCTCCAGTGCAGACATACTCTGTAAGTAATGATGACAGGATTATCTACCCTGTGGGTAGCAAAGGCTCCGATCCTACAGACGCTTAGGCTAGGGTGACCAGATAGCAACTAGTAAAAAATCAGGACGGGGGTGGGGGGTAATAGGAGCCTATATAAGAAAAAGCCCCCAAAATCGGGACTGTCCCTATAAAATCGGGACATCTGGTCACCCTAGCTTAGGCCTATGTGTATATGTGTTTGCAGGATTGGTGCCAAAGGTGAAAAGCCCCCCGTGGGAGCTATTTGTATTGCACGTAGCACCCAGTGTGCTCGGTGCTTTTGTATACCAATTGCAGGCTGATTTTTCAAACCACAGCACCCTCTTGTTTTGCTTTTAAATCTTCGCCCATCCTCTCCGGAGAATGTGGGTGATGGATAGATTGAAAAGGGTTGGGGCGTGGGAATTGGGAAAGGGACAGGCCCCTCTCTCTGACAACTCATGTTGAGATTTCCGGGAAAGGGGATCCACAGACTTTGGCTTTGACTTCCCCAGAGGATCTCTTGATTCACGGGAACATTGCAAATACCAATGCCAGTTAAAACAGGAATAGCAAAGTCTTGTTATTCTGGGATTAAAAGAATTACTCAGGCTCAAACAGCTCAGCTGTGGCCCTCAACCATGTAAAAGAAGCAGTGAGAGATAAAAAGACTTCCTTTAAAAGTGGAAGTCAAATCTAGCGAGGTAAATAGAAAGGAGCATAAACACTGCCAAATTAAGTGTAAAAATGTAATAAGAAAAGCCAAAGAGGAGATTGATTAACGGCTAGCCAAAAACTCCAAAGGTAATAACAAAATGATTTTTAAGTACATCAGAAGCAGGAAGCCTGCTAAACAACCAGTGGGGCCCCTCAATGATTGAGATACAAAAGGAGCACTTACAGACGATAAAGTCATTGCGGAGAAACTAAATGAATGCTTTGCTTCAGTCTTCACGGCTGAGGATGTTAGGGAGATTCCCAAACCTGAGCCGGCTTTTGTAGGTGACAAATCTGAGGAACTGTCACAGATTGAAGTGTCACTAGAGGAGGTTTTGGAATTAATTGATAAACTTAACATTAACAAGTCACCGGGGCCAGACTTGGGGCATTCACCCAAGAGTTCTGAAAGAACTCAAATGTGAAGTTGCAGAACTATTAACTATGGTTTGCAACCTGTCCTTTAAATTGGCTTCTGTACCCAATGACTGGAAGATAGCTAATGTAATGCCAATATTTAAAAAGAGCTCTAGAGGTGATCCCGGCAATTACAGACCGGTAAGTCTAACGTCGGTACCGGGCAAATTAGTTGAAACAATAGTAACGAATAAAATTGTCAGACACATAGAAGAACATAAATTGTTGGGCAAAAGTCAACAGGGTTTCTGCAAAGGGAAATCGTGTCTTACTAATCTATT